TTATCCTTAGGCTCCCCATCTCTCCAGGCCTGACCACATCGGAGGTGCCTGGCAAAAGCAGTCATACCGGCTTGGGAAGATGCTCTGATCTCAGTTGCATCTTGGTTAGGGTCATGTGGTGTTTAGCATTTTCTTCGAGGTGCGTAATTCATGGCTCTGGGCCAGGTGGATATCAAGAGGTATCCCACAGATGCCATGTGTCTTAGCAGCCTGTCCTTTGGGAGCTGACAGGTGAGCCTGACGCCCCCTGGGCAGAGCCACTAACATCTCAGGTGTCATTTCCCTTGGACCTTGCCAGGTGCCTTGAGACAAATTCTCCAACAACAAAGTATGGATAAGGAATCTGACAGAATCAGCCCTACCAGTTGAGCAAGTCAGCCTGTGGCAATGGTAGAAGACAGTATTAATCTCCCTGGGACTTGGAGAGTGAAGGTCACCAGGATTTTTTGTGGGGGGTGGCAGTGAGGAAAAGGCCAGCTTGATCATCAGTGTATTCTGTATCTTCTGGGGATTTTGACAAAAGACCCTCTGGAGCAAATGATGGGAATGAGGAGGGCGCTTGGCACCATGTAGCACAAGATGAGCAGCTGAAGGAAGGAGGGTGTTAGTCAAGGGACTGCCTTAAAACTGGAAAGGGAAGAAAAAAACATATATATATGTTAATATATATATATATACTGGGAGACAATGCGAGACTCCGTCTCAAAAAAAGAAAAAAAATTGTCCCACTTACTTCGCCCAGGCTGGAGTGCAGTGGCCTGATCTTGGCTCACTGCAAGCTCCGCCTCCCGGGTTCACGTCATGCTGCCTCAGCCTCCTGAGTAGCTGGGACTACAGGCACCCGCCACCACGCCCAGCTAATTTTTTTTTGTATTTTTGGTACAGACGGGTTTCACCACGTTAGCCAGGATGGTCTTGATCTCCTGACCTTGTGATCTGCCTGCCTCGGCCTCCCAAGGTGCTGGGATTACAGGCATGAGCCACTGTGCCTGGCCCCCACTTACTGACTTTTAAAACCTACTTTAAAATCTACCCATTTTACAAGTCTTTATGAAAGACCCCAGAGGCCATGAGGAACCAGAACTACCCAGTTTGCATCCGGTGGTAGAGCCAATCTTGAGCTTCTCCTATAAAGAAGTGATTACTCTGTCCATGAAATAGTTTTTCCATCACCCTCAAATTTATTTTTGCCCCTCAGAGGTGGAGGAGGAGAGCACTGAACTGTAATGTTTATACCCAGAAGCTGATTTCTGACTTCTGACCTTTATACTGTAGGGGATGGGACCTACTCCCTATAATCAGCAACTGAAAGTTTCAGGTATTTGTTGACTTCAGGTCCTTGGGCAGCAAAAAACTGTGCTCCCTAAAAATGTATTTCTAGTTTCGGAGCTTCTGCTGAGAGTCACGGTTATGAGAGCTGGTGGTGTACTTTGCTATTCCAGAACGAGCAGGATTTCCCTGGAGCGAAGAAAGCCTAGGTTCATATTCCATACTCAGTAGGTATTTGCCACATGACTGCAGGCCACTTAGTGAACTCTTGGGAACTTCACTTTCCTCCTGAGTGAAATAAGATAAATAGCTTTCTTTCCAGGCTCAGTGAGGACTAGCTTAGATACTGTATAAAGACAATTTGACATATAATAGACAATCAGTAGATTTAGCTCTTAGGTTGATCTTGCAAACCCTTCCAAACTTTGGCTCAGTATATAAGTGCAAACCATTGATTAATCAATTTTCTGCTGGTTATCCTAGAGCAAGACTCAGCAAACTTTTTTTTACAAGGCCCAGATAGTAAACATTTTAGTCTTCACAAACCACAGGGTCTCTGGTACAACTACTCAACCCTGCCATTCTAGTGCAAAAGTAAACAAGTGAGTTTGGCTATGGTTTTTTGTTTTTGATTCTTTTTTTTTTTTTTTTTTTTGAGACAGAGTGTTGCTCTCTCGCCAGGCTGGAGTGCAATGGCATGATCTCGGCTCACTGTAACCTCCGCCTCCCAGGTCAAGTGATTCTCCTGCCTCAGCCTCCTGAGTAGCTGAGATTACAGGCGCACGCCACTGCTACCAGCTAATTTTTGTATTTTTAGTAGAGACGGGGTTTCACCATGTTGGCCAGAATGGTCTCGATCTCTTGACCTCATGATCCTCCTGCCTCTGCCTCCCAAAGTGCTGGGATTACAGGCATGAGCCACCACACCTGGCCCCAGTTTGGCTATGTTTTAACAAAACCTTTTACCTTGTAAAACAGGTAGCTTGTATTGTGCCAATCCATGTTCTAGAGCATCATCATTTTTTTGTGTGTGTGTGAAACTTTTTTTTTTGTTTTAAATTAAATGGAGCCATGATCTCACTGTATTGCCCAGGCTAGTCTCAAAATCCTGGGTTCAAGAGAAAGAAAAGGATTGATATGTACTATTAAGGAATAATCTTTTTTTTTCTTTTTTTTTTCTTTTCTTTTTTTAAAATACAGGGTCACATTCTGTCACCCAGGCTGGAGTGCAGTGGTGTAATTATAGCTCAGTGCAGCCTTGACCTTCTAAGCTCAAGTGATGCTCCCACTTCAGTCTCCTGAGTAGCTGGGACCACAGGCATATGCCACCACACCTGGCTAATTTTTGTGTTTTTTGTAGAGCTGGGGTTTCACCATGTTGCTAGTCTGGTCTTAAACTCCTGGGGTTAAGTGATCCTCCCACCTGGGCCTCTTAAAGCAATGGGATTAGAAGTATGAGCCACTGACCTGGCCCAGGAATAACCTCTAAGATATTTTATAAAGTGAGAAAAGCAGGGTGCAAAACTGCATATAGTATGCCTTTTGTTTAAGAAGGAGAGGTCAGGGTAGGAGGGAGACCTACTTTTCACTGTATGCTACTTTGTGTTATTTGAAAATTAAACAGTAGGCACATTGGGATTCCACCTGCAAATCCTACACTTATCCAAGATAACTTCTAGTAACATTGGCTGTAGTTGATTTCAGGCTTATTTTTATGTAAATACACGGAATGTATGTATATATTTATGCAGGAACTACAGTCTGGCATATTTTCTTCTCTTTAATAGGCCTTTATTTGCGATCTTTAACAGATCTTCATAAAGCTGTCTTCTCTTTAAATTGCTGTCTCTAGGCTTAGCCATACCCCCAACTCCTACCCCTAATTCTCTAAAACATGCCGTGGGTAGCTCGCCCTGTGCACTGTTGCCTTTGGGAAGGATTTCGTTCCCTCATGGCCACCCTCCACCTTCCCTCATGGCAATCTAGCTATCCCTAGCCCCAGTGCAAAGTTGCACCCAGGACTACCAAGATGCTAAGCCTTGCCTCTACAGGACCTAATGTGCCAGCACCCTCATTCCCTCTCCTCCTCGCCCCCTTCCCTTCCATCTTTAGGGAATTCCTGGCAGGGTGGGTAGGGGATGAATGGTTAAGGGGTATTTTGTGAGCAGGGGAAGACCCAGTGCCAGGGAGGCCAACCGAGGGCCTAGCAATTAGAGAATACTTATATATTTTGGTGCCTACCATGTGCCAAGCAATGTGCTTAGAAGTCTGCATACATTACGTGTATTCCAACAATACCATAAAGTAGGTTTCCTGGAGGGAACCATGTGTCCTTGTTTGCCTGAAACAGTCATGGTGTTTGCCTGTTGTCCTGGCAAAATTATTAATAGCATCTCCTTTCTCTAGCAAAAGGTTTAGATAAAAAATTGTATAGTCACCTTAACTGTCCCCATCTTATACGTGAGGATATTGAGGCTTAGAGAGGTAAGTTCATCTGCCCAGGGTCACACGGCTGGTAAATGATAGAGCTGAGATTAAAACTCTAGTCAGTATGGCTCTGTTAGGGACTGAACTCTGACATGGACATGAATGGTGTCCCCCAAAATTCCTATGTTGATACCCTAACCCCCAATGCGACTGCATTTAGAGACAGAGCCTGTAATAGGGCGATAAAGGCTAACTGAGGTCCAGATTATTGCCTCCTCCCCAGGCCGCCTCTCTTCCACAACCACCCCCACCCCACTCCAGTCAGGGCCCTTCCTCCTCTGCCACGACAGCTCTGCTAACCCGGCACTATCACTGCTTGCGTCCTTCGCAGCCTCCTGCTACATCTTTTCCACCGCTGCGTCCTCGTTGGCTGGCGCTCAATAGACATTGACTCGGTGAATAAATGAGTGAAACTGTCCTTTTAGGGATGGATGAATCTGTCCTATTTAAGGCGGTGCCCTTTTCTGGTATTCCCTAACACAAGCTTGACCCGAAGTAGGCGTTCTGAAAAAGGCCGACAGTCGATGGAGGCCAACGCAGCGCTCCTCTCACCTCCTCTCTCCGTCCAGGCCGGGTGACCATAAGCGCGGCCAGCGGAAAGGAGGCGGTGCGGCCCGTAGGGTTGAGGCCCGGAGGGGGCGGGGCCTCCCTCGCGACCTGGCCCGGAGAGGGTGGGGCTTCCGGGAAGGGGCCTCTAGCGCGCACTCTCGGAAGCGCAGCCGAACCCGCCCTCCGAGCCCAGAGAGGCGCTGCTGCCGCTGCCACCGCCGCCCCGCCGCCGCTGCCTTAGTTATGCCGGTGAGTGGTTGCGCCGTCCCCGCCACGCACACTTGCAGTCCCCGGGTTCCTCCTTGGCTGCACAACAGCTTGACCGGATGCTTCTCTTGAAGGGCTCAGCTTACCCCACCCAGCCCCCAGCTTTTGCGACCCTTCAGAAAATGGGATCCGAAGGGAGTTTAATCTAGGAGCCAGGCTTCAAAACGTCGGAGCTGGAAGGCCTCCAGGGGCGACAAGCCCACACCTTTCCTGCGTACACGGAGAAACAGACCCAGAGAGGGGGCAGGGGGTCGCTCAGCAGGACGCGGGGAGTTGGTGGCCAGCGGGAACTGAGACGCCTAGTCCCTGAGCCTTCCTCTTGGCTGCCCCGCCAGCTTAGCTGGCCTGAAGGAGGGCGGTGGGGAGGCTCTGGGCATGGGGATGGACCCGGTTATTACCTCACGGACCGGGCAGGTTTTCAGAGGTTCATGATTTTTTCTTAATTTTCCTGCCCACTATGGCTTACTTTTCAAATCAACTCTGGGCGACTCTGAATGGAGACACTTTGTCAGCCTGAACCCATAAGCCCCAGAGAGGTTCAGGAACCCCCCTCAAAGTCACCAGTTGCTCAGTGGCAGAGTCTGGGAAGTCAGTCTGAGCCTGCCTTTGCAGATCACTCAGTATATTGTTGCTCGTGGCCTCGTTTTTTATATAAAAAAGAATTGAGGGCTTTGACAGATAAAAATATAAAAACCCCAGTAACTTATTCCAGGTCGTGTTGAAGTTGGCAGAGCCAGGATTCAGCTCCTTATCCTTAGGCTCCCCATCTCTCCAGGCCTGACCACATCGGAGGTGCCTGGCAAAAGCAGTCATACCGGCTTGGGAAGATGCTCTGATCTCAGTTGCATCTTGGTTAGGGTCATGTGGTGTTTAGCATTTTCTTCGAGGTGCGTAATTCATGGCTCTGGGCCAGGTGGATATCAAGAGGTATCCCACAGATGCCATGTGTCTTAGCAGCCTGTCCTTTGGGAGCTGACAGGTGAGCCTGACGCCCCCTGGGCAGAGCCACTAACATCTCAGGTGTCATTTCCCTTGGACCTTGCCAGGTGCCTTGAGACAAATTCTCCAACAACAAAGTATGGATAAGGAATCTGACAGAATCAGCCCTACCAGTTGAGCAAGTCAGCCTGTGGCAATGGTAGAAGACAGTATTAATCTCCCTGGGACTTGGAGAGTGAAGGTCACCAGGATTTTTTGTGGGGGGTGGCAGTGAGGAAAAGGCCAGCTTGATCATCAGTGTATTCTGTATCTTCTGGGGATTTTGACAAAAGACCCTCTGGAGCAAATGATGGGAATGAGGAGGGCGCTTGGCACCATGTAGCACAAGATGAGCAGCTGAAGGAAGGAGGGTGTTAGTCAAGGGACTGCCTTAAAACTGGAAAGGGAAGAAAAAAACATATATATATGTTAATATATATATATATACTGGGAGACAATGCGAGACTCCGTCTCAAAAAAAGAAAAAAAATTGTCCCACTTACTTCGCCCAGGCTGGAGTGCAGTGGCCTGATCTTGGCTCACTGCAAGCTCCGCCTCCCGGGTTCACGTCATGCTGCCTCAGCCTCCTGAGTAGCTGGGACTACAGGCACCCGCCACCACGCCCAGCTAATTTTTTTTTGTATTTTTGGTACAGACGGGTTTCACCACGTTAGCCAGGATGGTCTTGATCTCCTGACCTTGTGATCTGCCTGCCTCGGCCTCCCAAGGTGCTGGGATTACAGGCATGAGCCACTGTGCCTGGCCCCCACTTACTGACTTTTAAAACCTACTTTAAAATCTACCCATTTTACAAGTCTTTATGAAAGACCCCAGAGGCCATGAGGAACCAGAACTACCCAGTTTGCATCCGGTGGTAGAGCCAATCTTGAGCTTCTCCTATAAAGAAGTGATTACTCTGTCCATGAAATAGTTTTTCCATCACCCTCAAATTTATTTTTGCCCCTCAGAGGTGGAGGAGGAGAGCACTGAACTGTAATGTTTATACCCAGAAGCTGATTTCTGACTTCTGACCTTTATACTGTAGGGGATGGGACCTACTCCCTATAATCAGCAACTGAAAGTTTCAGGTATTTGTTGACTTCAGGTCCTTGGGCAGCAAAAAACTGTGCTCCCTAAAAATGTATTTCTAGTTTCGGAGCTTCTGCTGAGAGTCACGGTTATGAGAGCTGGTGGTGTACTTTGCTATTCCAGAACGAGCAGGATTTCCCTGGAGCGAAGAAAGCCTAGGTTCATATTCCATACTCAGTAGGTATTTGCCACATGACTGCAGGCCACTTAGTGAACTCTTGGGAACTTCACTTTCCTCCTGAGTGAAATAAGATAAATAGCTTTCTTTCCAGGCTCAGTGAGGACTAGCTTAGATACTGTATAAAGACAATTTGACATATAATAGACAATCAGTAGATTTAGCTCTTAGGTTGATCTTGCAAACCCTTCCAAACTTTGGCTCAGTATATAAGTGCAAACCATTGATTAATCAATTTTCTGCTGGTTATCCTAGAGCAAGACTCAGCAAACTTTTTTTTACAAGGCCCAGATAGTAAACATTTTAGTCTTCACAAACCACAGGGTCTCTGGTACAACTACTCAACCCTGCCATTCTAGTGCAAAAGTAAACAAGTGAGTTTGGCTATGGTTTTTTGTTTTTGATTCTTTTTTTTTTTTTTTTTTTTGAGACAGAGTGTTGCTCTCTCGCCAGGCTGGAGTGCAATGGCATGATCTCGGCTCACTGTAACCTCCGCCTCCCAGGTCAAGTGATTCTCCTGCCTCAGCCTCCTGAGTAGCTGAGATTACAGGCGCACGCCACTGCTACCAGCTAATTTTTGTATTTTTAGTAGAGACGGGGTTTCACCATGTTGGCCAGAATGGTCTCGATCTCTTGACCTCATGATCCTCCTGCCTCTGCCTCCCAAAGTGCTGGGATTACAGGCATGAGCCACCACACCTGGCCCCAGTTTGGCTATGTTTTAACAAAACCTTTTACCTTGTAAAACAGGTAGCTTGTATTGTGCCAATCCATGTTCTAGAGCATCATCATTTTTTTGTGTGTGTGTGAAACATTTTTTTTTGTTTTAAATTAAATGGAGCCATGATCTCACTGTATTGCCCAGGCTAGTCTCAAAATCCTGGGTTCAAGTGATCCTCCCATTTCAGCCTCCCAAAGTGTTGGGATTACAGGTGCAAGCCACTGCACCCAGCCTTTAGATTTTTATTTATTTATTTTTTTGAGACAGAGTCCTGCTCTGTTGCCCAGGCTGGAGTGCAGTGGCATGATCTTGGCTCACTGCAGCCTCCGCCTTCTGGGTTCCAGCTATTCTCCTGCCTCAGCCTCCCAGGTAGCTGAGATTACAGGCACCTGCCACTATGCCTGGCTAATTTTTTTCTATTTTTAGTAGAGAGACAGGTTTTACCATGTTGGCCAGACTGGTCTCGAACTCCTGACCTCAGGTGATCTGCCTGCCTCAGCCTCCCAAAGTATTGAGATTATAGGCATGAGCCACATTGCCCTGCCTAAAAAATTTTTTAATAGAGGAGAGCATCATCTCAGACTGTAATGTGGGCAGGAATGACTTGGGTGTCTTGTTAAAATGAGGATTCTGATTCCGGACTTCTGGGAAGGGACCTGAGATTGTGCATTTCTGGCAGGCTCTCAGGTGATGATCGTATTGTTCGGTTGAGGACCACATTTTAAACACAAGATTTTGTAATACCTACTACAAATCATTCTTTCCAGAATTTGTTATTGTTGCTGTCTTTGAATAGTCATGAAACGATGAAAAAATCAGAGATGTTTAGAAGAAAGGAAAGACTGACCATTTTCTTTAAGGCAGACTTTGCAGATTTGGCCTTAATAAAAGTAGTAGTTTACTAGTCACAAAGGTCATACAGTCTACACTGGAAAATCGAGCTGCTTAACTCTTGGTCTTGGTTTCCTCTGTAGAGCACAATGACAATCCAGACTCAGAGGTGTTTAGAGACTTAGAAAGAGTTTGAGAAGCCACTTAGTCACTTTATTTTCAGGTTTGTAGTTTTGCCTCCCTGTCTCTCCCCAGTAGGTTAAAAATGGGGAGTGGCAGGGCCTGCTCCACATCCACAGAGCCAGTTGAGGCAGGTGTCTGGGAGCTGCACTTTACACAAGGTCCCCAGATTCTTCCTATGCATGCTGAAGTTGAAAAAAAACTGAGTTAGCTAATACCCTTTTGGTATAGATTAGGGAACTAGAGCCCTTCTGGAGCAGAGATTTTGCCTGTGATTTTCTAGCAAGATATATCGCTATACCCAGAATTCCAATTGAGGTAATAGACTTGAAATATTTTGAAGTGCTCCATGAAAAATGTAGCCATTGATTTTTGAAGGGAAACAGGAGAGACAAATGGAAGAAATTAATAATAACCCAATAGCTAATTTTTTACCCAATGGAACCTAGTACTAGGCTCTAATTTCCTTAATGTATTAGTTATCTATTGCTCCTTAGTAATTATCCCAAAACTTTGTAGTAAACAACAAATATATTTATAGTAATTCACACAGTTTCCGAGACTCAGGAATTTGGGAACAGCTTGGCCTAGTGGCTCCAGCTCAGAGGCTCTCATAAAGTTGGAGTGAGATGTTAGCTGGAGCTGCATTCATCTGAAGACTTGACTGGAGCTGCAGAATCCAGTTTCGAGATGGCTCACTCACATGCTTGTTAGCTTGAGGGTTGGGTCTCTCACTTTGTGGACCTCTCCTTATGGTTACTTGAATATCTTTATGATTTGGTAGCTGACTTCCTCTAATGCAAGTGACCCCTGAAAGAGAGCAAGACAGAAGTCACAGTGTCTTTTATGACATTGTGATATCTTCAGAAGGCACATAACCTCACTTCAAGCCATATTCTATAAGACACACAGACCAACCCGAGAGATTTGGAATGGGATTACTCAAGGGCATAAATACCAGAGGCAGAGATCATTGAGGCCATCTTGGATGCTGGCTACCACACTTAAAATCCTGTGTTCATCCCATTCACAAATCTAGAGAGGGACTCTTACCCCCAATGTTCAGATGTGGAAACTAAGGGACAGAGAAGTAACTTATTGATGATCATGTAATTAGTAGTGTCAGAACTGGTATCTGAAGCCAGATTTATCTAATTTCAGATTGTCTCATTTCCAGAGATTTTAAAATAAAGTATTGGTTTATGTAATCTTTGTGTGAAAGCAAAGGAAAAGACCCAGAAGTTCAAACCAGCCATGTCAATTATCCATTGACTCAGAAATATGTTTTAAGCACCTACTCTGTCCAGGCACTGTTCCAAGTATTAGGAATCCAGCAGTGAACTGAATAAAACGTCTGTCTTCTGGGTGCTTACCTTCAGACCCTTGATCTGTTAGATATCCTGGAGACTGTAGAATGTAGAGCTTACATGAAGACTAGGAGCCGGGGATTCCTTCCTGCCTGGCCTCCAACCCACTGGGGAACCCAGGCAATCCTTTCTCTTCCCTGGACCCAGATGCTGCCTCTGAGAATGCGGCCCTTGGATGAAAGCAGAATCACCTGGGATAATGACTAGACATAACAGATTCCCCAGCCCAGACCTGCTGACCAGAACCTGTAGTTTTTGCAAGCTGCAGGTGACTCTAGTGCAGAAAATAATTTTCTAGTTCATAAGTGGGCCCACCAGAACAGCATTGTTAGAAGTATGGGGGCCCATCCCTGTCAGAGTTATTGGTGGCCCTGAGACAAAGCTCATAGCTCAAGAATCAGTGCTTTGAAGGTAGGACTGGGAAAAAGCATTTTAAACTAGATCTCCAGGTGATTCTATTCACTGTGTGCCAGACACTGTTAAAGGATTTATGGGGATGATTCCATTGAATACCACCTATGAGGTAGAAACTCTTAGCTGCTCTATAGTTGAAGAGACTGGGGCTCAGAAACAGGCTCCTGATGAGTCTGATGCCAACCAGGTCCTACCCAGTCTCTCTGCCTTCTCTTTTGACCCTGAGTGGGCCTGTCTGCTGGCACTGTGTGTGGATCACTCTGCAGGGCTCGGGTCATGCTCCCCCTTTGTTTCAGAAGCACGTGTTCTCTGTGGACATGACCTGTGGAAGCTGTGCTGAAGCTGTTTCTCGGGTCCTTGATAAGTTTGGAGGTGAGTGAGTGGCCCTCAGTTGGGGGTGGGATAGAGGAGACAGATGCACTTATGCCATGTTCAGATGCATGCAGATGTTGCAGGAGAGGCTTAGGGTTAAGCTGATCATAACAGTAAAACTAAAATGTATTGACTGTACCAACTACTCTTGTTAGTTTCTTATGTGGATCACATCATTTAATCCTCACCACAGCCATTTCAGATAGCTTGTTTGACTAGCTCCATGTTAAACAGGAGACAGCTGAAATTCAGAGACGTTAACTTATCTGGGATCACATGGTCAGTAAATGGTGGAGCTGGGATTTAGCCAAATTAACTAGAACTGCCAGGACTAGCTCTGGAACCATGGCAGTACTAGTGAATATGTTGGTCATCTCCAGTGTATACTGCATGACACATCTGAGTGTCATTTTCTGTTAAAAAAAATTTTTTTTTTGAGACGGAGTTTTGCTCTTCTTGCTCAGCCTGGAGTGCAGTGGTGCGATCTTGGCTCATCGCAACCTTTGCCTCCTAGGTTCAAGCAATTCTCTTGCCAGAGTCTCCCGAGTAGCTGGGATTACAGGCATGCGCCACCATTCCCGGCTTATTTTGTATTTTTAGTATAGACGGGGTTTCTCCATATTGGTCGGCTGGTCTCGAACCCCTGACCTCAGGTGATCTGCCTGCCTCGGCCCCCCAGAGTGCTGGGATTACAGATGTGAGCCACCCTGCCCAGCCTCTATTAAGATTTTTTAAATGGGGCTGGACACGGTGGCTCACACCTGTGTTCCCAGCATTTTGGAAAGCTGAGGTGGGCGGATTGCCTGAGCTCAGGAGTTCTTGAGACCAGCCTGGGCGACATGGTAAAACCCTATTTCTACAAAAAATACCAAAAAATTAGCCAGGCATGGTGGCACATGCCTGTACTCCCAGCTACTTTGGGGGGCTGAGGTGGGAAGATCGTTTGAGCCCAGGAGGTTGAGGCTGCAGTGAGCCTAGATCATGCCACTGCACTGCAGTGGGGGCAACAGAGCAACACCCTGTCTCAAAAAAAAATAAATAAATAAATAAGAAAAAAAAAGAAAGATTTTTAAAAAGTAACAATTTAAAAAAATTTTGTCTTTTTCTATTTCTTTGCTTCAAAAAAATTTTTTTAAGTAATTTTGAATCGCTCACATGCAGGGTTTTTTTTTGTTTGTTTTGTTTTTTGAGATGGAGTCTCGCTCTGTCGCTCAGGCTGGAGTGCAGTGGCACATGATCTCAGCTCGCTGCAACCTCTGCCTCCTGGGTTCAAGCAATTTCTGGCAAATTTTTTGTATTTTTCATAAAGATGGGGTTTCACCATGTTGGCCAGGCTGGTCTTGAACGCCTGACCTCAAGTAATCTGCCCACTTTGGCCTCCCAACGTGATAGGGTTACAGGCATGAGCCACTGCACCTGGCCACACATACATATCCTTAAAGCACCTCTTTTCAACAATCAGTCTCATCCAGCCTTGTCATTTCACAGCTAGGGAAACTGAGGCCCAGAGAGGGCTGGGATCTGGTCCTGGGACTGAATGAGGTAATAACTGAGTTGTGATCAGAGTTTTGGCAATGCCAGTCAGCCTTCTAAGACTTTTTCTTTTCTTGTTCCCCTACATGAACTGTCACACAATCTTCTAAAATTTTCTGTTTTAAAACCCTAAATAATAATGACATTAAGTTTTCAAATGGCTTCCACATGGACGTGATCTCATTAGCAGTCCTCTGAGCTGTACTTTTCATCTTTGGAATGAGGATGTTGATGCCAGTACCCAGGAGGTTAAGTGACTTGCCCAGAGTCCCGCAGCAAGTCAGTGGCTGACCTCTGGCCCTGTAAACTGGGATCTTAATCTGAGAGAAACTGAAACAGTGGAAAGAACCTGGCTGCTGACTTTCCATATGACTGTGGGCCCTTGTTTCTCGGGCCTGGGTTTCCCCAGCTGTGGTATAGGAATGTATATCTTGTGTATCTGTATCAACTTCTACTGTTGATGCTTTTTTTTGTTTTTTTTTTGAGATGGGGTTTCCCTGTTTTGCCCAGGCTGGAGTGAAGTGGCATGATCTCTGCTCACTACAACCTGCTTCACCTGCCTTCCACTGGATTCAAGTGATTCTCCTGCCTTAGCCTCCCAAGTAGCTGGGATTATAGGTGCCTGCCACCGTGCCTGGCTAATTTTTTTTTTTTTTTTTTTCCCTGAGATGGAGTTTCATTCTTGTTGCCCAGGCCAGAATGCAATGTCGTGATCTCAGCTCACCGCAACCTCCGCCTCCCGGGTTCCAGCAGTTCTCCTGCCTCAGTCTCCCGGGTAGCTGGGATTACAGGCGCGGGCCACCACACCCAGCTAATTTTGTATTTTTAGTAGAGACGGGGTTTCTCCATGTTGGACAGACTGGTCTCAAACTCCTGACCTCAGGTGATCCTCTCTCCTTGGCCCCCCAGAATGCTGGGATTACAGGCATGAGCCACTGCGCCTGGCCTGTTGACGCTTTAAAAACGAAACTGCACAGGAGCCCCTCAAATAAAGCAGCAGGCTCTGGATGAAGTGGGAACGGGCCTAATTTTGTTTGACAGCTCAAGGACACCTACCCACCCCAGGAACTTCATCCAGGCCAGAGTGTAGTGGCGCGACCTCAGCTCACTGCAGCCTCAACCTCCCAGGCTCAAGTGATCCTCCCACCTCAGCCTTCTGAATAGCTGGGACTACAGGATCACACCGGGCTATTTTTTTTTTTTTTTTTGTAGAGACAAGATCTCACTTTGTTGCCCAGGCTGGGAAACCATATGATTTTTGTTTTTGGTTTTGGTTTTGGTTTTGGTTTTTTTGAGACGGAGTCTTGCTCTGTCACCCAGGCTGGACTGTCGCCCAGGCTGGAGTGCAGTGGCCGAATCTCAGCTCACTGCAAGCTCCGCCTCCCGGGTTCACGCCATTCTCCTGCCTCAGCCTTCCAAGTAGCTGGGACTACAGGCGCCTGCCACCTCGCCTGGCTAGTTTTTGTATTTTTCAGTAGAGGCAGGGTTTCACTGTGTTAGCCAGGATGCTCTCGATCTCCTGACCTCGTGATCCGCCCGTCTCGGCCTCCCAATGTGCTGGGATTACAGGCTTGAGCCACCGTGCCCAGCCTGTTTTTGTTTTTGAGGAGGAGTCTCACTCTGTCTCCCAGGCTGGAGTGCAGTGGTGTGATCTCGGCTCTCTGCAACCTCTGCCTCCCAGGTTCAAGCACTTCTCCTGCCCCAGCCTCCCGAGTAGTTGGGATTACAGGCACATGCCACCACACTGAGCTAATTTTTATATTTTTATATATTTTATTAAAATATAAAATTATTTTTTTATATTTTTTATATATGGAGTTTCACTATGTTAGCCAGGCTGGTCTCGAACTCCTGACCTCAAGTGATCCACTCGCCTCAGCCTCCCAAAGTGCTGGGATTACAGGCATGAGCCACCACGCCCAGCCAACCATATGATTTTTAAGGCCCCTTGCTGGAGGATCTGCCTTTGAGCTTCGGCAGGTTTCTCCCCATCTTTTCCTACTGTCCCTGCTTGGATGGCCTCTTGAGAAAGTCAGGAGGGTTTTTTGAGTTGCTTAGGGCCCTAAAAGAAGAGTGTGAGGGCTGAGGAATCACAGATTAATAGCATTCTTGAGCTGGAAAGACCACAGGAGCTGGCCAGCCCTGAATCCTTCATGTACAGATGAGGTAACTGAGGCCTGTGAGAAGCAGGACCCCACCCCTGCCATCCATGGTCACCCAGCAAGTCAATGGTGAGGCCAGGCCTAGAACCTCTCAAGACTTTTCCTTTCTTTCTGTGTGTTCTTTTGTCAGAGTAAAACTCTGGGTCCTCTCATGTGCTGCTGGGGAGCTATAAATTGGCATAGTCATTTAGGAGGGCAATTTTGCAATGTCTATTAAACATTCAAAATGTGTCAAACATCTGTCGCCCCACAATTTCCATTCTGTGAATTCACTGTATAAAAATATTTTTATAAGTTTTTTTAAGACAAGTTCAAATATGTTTGCTATAACATTGTGATAGTGGTGAAAAATTAGAAGCATCCTCAATGACCTTTAACATGGATTAATTAAGTGGATGTGTGGTATGTTCACACTATGGAAGATTGTAGCTTTTAAAAAAAGAATAGGGCCAGGCACTGTGGCTCAAGTGTAATCCTAAGACTTTGGGAGACTGAGGCAGGTGGATCACCTGAGGTCAGGAATTCAAGACCAACCTGGCCAACACGGCAAGACCCCATCTCTACTAAAAATACAAAAATTAGCCAGGCATGGTGGCTTATGCCTGTAATCCCAGCTACTCGGGAGGCTGAGGCAGAAGAATCGCTTGAACCCAGGAGGCAGAGGCTACAGTGAGCTGAGATCACATCACTGCACTCCAGCCTGGGAGACAGAGCGAGACTCTGTCTCAAAAAAAAAAAAAAACCAAAAAGGGGGGGTGGGGTGGCAGTGGGCTCACACCCTGAGTCGCTAGCACTTGGGAAGCCCAAGGCAGGCCAGATCGCTTGAGGGCCAGAAC